GAAAATATTTTCATTTTCTTTTTCACTTCCTTTTTTTTCCCCTTTTTTAACGAATATATATAAATATATGTTTGTCACATTAATTTTGATATATTGCTACATTTTCAAACCATTTTCTTAAAAAAAAAAAAAAAAAAGAAAAAAAAGAGCTCTTTACCAATCCTAAAATCACTTCAACATTTTTAAATAGTCATTTTAAAATTGACAAAAAACCAAAAATGAAAAATGAAAAAGAAAATGGTACTGATTTTCATTCAAATTAACCATTTAGTATTGATGAGAAAGATTGATAGAAAAATATAAGAAAGTATTATATGTTGCTTGTATTTTTCAACAAGAAATTAGCGCAAAAAATTGATCCTAATTAGTTATTAATGGATAAATGAATTGAAATGAAATATGTTCAGGTAGTAATATTAATTAATATTTTAATGCATTTTGAATGAAGGTATATGATTTTTTTTTTTAATGATGATAATATAGGTGTATTTTAAATTAAACTTTTTTACTTTAATTAGCATAAATGTAATTAAAATTATCAATTTTGAATGTGAAATTGATAAAATTTTAAGATTTCATGATAAAAAAAAATTTTAATAGAAATTTTTTATTTTATTCTTTTTTTTTTTGTTCCTAACTTCAAAATATTATTGTTCAATTTTTGAATAATTTCAATTTGATCGATTATTATTTTGAGAGAAAAGAGGTTAGCATAAAAATTGCTATCCTTACTGGACAATTTGTCATTGTGTCGCATTTGGTTGTTGTTTAAGATTATTTGAAATGGATAAATGAATAATGAATTCCCCATCGATTAACTTTTTTTTTTTTTTTTGCTTCAAACAAAGATTAAAATTTTGCTTAGAGGAATCATACGATGATTAGCAATGGACTTAGTTGCAGTTCAAATTTCAATTATCAATAACTTCATGTATTAAATTACCACAAATATTTGCATAATTATTTTATTTCAATTTTTTGTTACGTTCAATAAATTTATTTACTTTCCTAAAATTATTTAAATTTTTCGTTTTCTGCTGTTTTTATTGAATTTTAATGATAAAATATGGTAATTGATTGTTTTTCGTTTCAAAATAAATTTTTTTTCTAATTCCATTTTTTTTAAATCGACTTTTAAATTCAAAATTTAAATTTTACATTTAAATTTATAGCAATAAGTATTATTATTAGTTTGCATGTTTTATAATTAAAAAAAAAAAATGTCAATATTTTATGAAATTTTGTTATTTTTCAGTAATTTTATGGAATCATTTTTTTCTTTTTCTTTTTAAAAAACTAAAATTGAATTTATTGTGGATGAAAATTTCGTTTTAAACATTAGGAATTTTTTAATAATTGTTAAAACTTTCTTTTTAGAATATATTTGTGAATAATTTTTTATAATTTCAGTTCTTTCTTTTTAAAAGAAAAGGAGAAAATTTCTTTTTTAATGTGTATGACGGGAAATATAATGAAAATTTTATTCATAATTAATTAACTTTACTACGAATGGGTTGTTTTTGCATTTCTTTTTTTTTTATCCACAAATGTTTAATTATTAAGTTCCTAATGATATTACCAGGT